CGCGACTATACATAGGATTTGTATGTTTGTGCAAAAGTACCTTTAAGTAGACTCAAAAAATATCAAAGTCAGACGAAAAATGACGCCATACGATAAAACCGATTTGCTGTGTTGGAAAATTGCCAATAATGACATTTTCTTTTCAAATAAAATCACTCAAACGCAATAATCTGATTCGAGGCTATGGCTGCGCATAATTTATTGCCTAGCTTTAGTACGATGGTGTTTCTAGCAATCCCGTTGTTGGTATCTGGATAGTAGGTCCTGCTTGATTTGATTGTTTCACCAAAAAAATTCACTGTATGCTTTTATTTTTGTTTTTTGTTTTTTCTCTATCTGTTGAATCGACTAATTTTCAGTTGGTGATGTTCTGCTTTTTTTTTTCTTAAAATTTTTTAAACGTAAGGATTGTGATGTATTATTAATATTAGTGATAAATTTTGAAACGAGTTTTCTTTTTGTAATATTGATTTCCGCGGGTTTAGGTCTCTCATCAGCAGCTCAACAGGGATTGAATTACACCTGTAGCCCGTAAGTATGAATGAGTCTTTCCTTTCGGCGTTCATCCCTAACCTTAGTTTTCAAGTTAGTTAACATTTTATTGTTGTTGCTGTTTGTTGTAGAACCTTGTTAATATTTTTTACATTTTATTAGATAAGTTTTACGGGAAGTGTGTAAAACTGGCCGTTACTCATTTGTGCTATCTAGATCTGTTTAAAAAAAAAATTTTTTTTTTAGCTTGTTGCTCGCTTATTTTCATTTGTGCTTAATATTTATCTAATTCGAATTGTGGATCTCAGTTTATTGGGAGTGGTTAACGTAAGGTATGTTATTTCTGACTTTTCACTGCTTATTATGTGTTTATAGTTAAGGTTTTCTGTTCAAGGCTACTTGTTTGGACAATGCCTGTTTAAGGAATTTTTCTTTTTATTTCAGCCTATTTTTGTATTACGGAACTATAATATTTCTTGTGCGAGAACCATTCAGACGAACATTTCTTTCTAATACAGTACCGTTTTCATCAATTCTTGGCCATTGTTGGTTATGGTAATGAGTGCTTTAAACATATTATATTCTTGACTCTCTTGTGGATGTTTTGAAGTTTCTAAAAAAACTGCAGGATTCTTTGGAAATCCTCATGCAACTTTTAAAAATTAACTATTTGCAATATATCCATTTTGAGAGTTTTAGTCCACTCCTCTACGTTGTTGTGGCTGTCCTCCTTTACCCGTTATGGATCTATACATCCTGGCCATCAGTAGTAGGCTCTCCTACAAAAGCGCTGTTTCTCTTTGGTTTTTCTGCCTGGCTTGAATCGTTTGCAGACCCGTTTGTTGTGATTTGCCAGCGAAGCTCATTAAATGTTGAATTTGCAATCCTCCAATGCATACAAATCATTTCTCAAAGAATTTTTGTCCTTATCTTGATTACTGCGACCAAATTCTCTCATATTTGGATTTTTTGCTATGCTCAGGTTTGCTATTATTGGTTTGTTTTCATAATTTTTTACTTGAAATCGAACTGGAGTGTCATAATCTGTTCTTTATTTATCAGATTTATTTTTGTTAGCTTGGGCAGCGGTGAATTTTTTAGATAATCGCATCGCTTTTTTATCTTGTCGTTGCTTACTACTTTGCACGCCACTGTCTCTACGAAGGCCGTTATGTTCTTGCTGGCGGGATCTTTCCTCAGTTCCATCTTAGTGTGTCGAAAAGGGTTTGACTTCTTACTTGTACATCTAAGTTTACTACTTATTTAGACTTACAGTTTGCCACCCGACGTTATTATAATTGTAGTTATAGGAACTAAAAACTTTTTCATCGTTTGTTTGGCATTCGTTTGCTAAACATTTTTCTACTGAAGGAGCAAATTTCGTTCTTACGTTTGCAGCAAATATGTCTCATGAAAATCAAGGTACGACTCTCTGTGCTCTTAAATCGCGTTTTTTTAAAACGCAGCTTAGCTTTTGGTATACCTTTTTAAAAACAATATTACAGCTGTCTACGATGCAATAGATAAACTTGGAAGTTTGGTTGTGAGAATAGTATTAACTCCTTTGGACCAAGCAGCAGAAATGTATTTTGCACGTTATTTGAAACGAGGTGAAAATGTGAACAAACAAAACGAAGTAAATTATATAGCTGTGCTTTGGTTTGTCACTTTTCTTCTTTAATTTTTTTTACTTCTCTACAGATTAATGTTCGACGTGGGACAACTTGCCTTATGGGACTGGTTCATTTGGCTCTGCTTGTTGGATTGACGGTTTGTACATTTGCGGTCCCATATTCGTCGTTGGGAGTTTGGATTTATGGCGGAGAGAGATTTGCTGAAAAATCAGGTAATTTTTTGCTTTCCAGTTCTTTTAAAAGAGACTTTATTCCGGTATCTAAATCTTTCGTTCTTTCTGATTTACGGCTTTTTTAGATAAAATAGTAAAATGAAATTTTTTTTAGCTGCCAACATTTTGAGGTTTTATTGCGTTTACGTTTTGATTATTGCTGTTAACGGTGTTATTGAATGTTTTGCTACGTCGACAATGGATAATATTCAGGTTTTCTTTTTTTAAAGCAAATTATTTTTAAAGGTGCTTATTATAACTTTCAGACTGTAAAGCACGGAACATTTTTATCCATAGCGTCCTTTGCACAGTTTGTTGTTTCTGCGTTTGCTTGTCGGCATCTTGGTGCTTATGGTATTATTCTTGGAAACTCACTGAATGTGTTGATTCGAATTTTCTATAAGTATGTACCGTTTTTTAAGAATATAATTTGTCGATAAGTGAATTTATTGAAAGTATGCAAATTTTTGCGAAAAAAGCCGTTATATTTTCAATTTAACCATCGTGTTCTGCTTTAGTTGGCGACGTATTCAGGAGTATCTCAACGGGAAGGTCTCATTCACAGAAGTATTACCATCGTTTACAATATTCTTTTTGTTGTTATTTGCCCTCGCCACATCATCGCTTTCCTTTTTGGTAATTTCTAGAGTTTTATAAACCTCTGCTTCTTCTTTTGATACCGTTTTTCAATACTAGTTGTTCCAGATATTTGGGCGAGAAAAAGGTATAATTCATAACTCTGCTCATCTTGCTGTTGGTGGAGCACTGTTCATGTTTGTTGTCAATTACGTTTACCATAATGATGAAGCATTAGCTGTTCTTTTACGTGAATATAGTCACGTTCAAAAAGACTAATTCCATCTAAGGATTTGGGATCCTTCCGGATGTGTTATATTACACAAAAGTTTCCTAGTTCCTAAAGTTTTCATAGGATAATTGGTAGTGTTCTTTTTAATGAATGCAATAAATCGATTCATTATTTGGAACTTTGAACAGATTATACAAGCACCTGAACGAAAAGCTTTATTTTCCTTGACTTATTTCTGCAAACCTTCTTTGGTTTTTGATGAGATTTTGCCTAATTGATTTGTTTGCAGTTTACTGGTTATCTTCTTCCATTTGGTTAATTTCTAGTTGACTTTTGAAAAGCTACATTACGGAAGCACAACGTGTTCACGCTTGTTCTCAAAAAAAATTTCATTGTGTGTGAATTTATTCGCTTTTCTGCAACCACCGTTTAAAAAATTATCAAATTGCGTGTTGCTCTATTGTCTTATCAGCTGCAAGATTAATTTATTTTTCCCCGTTCAATGATAGCTTTAACTTCTTTTGTTATGGGTAAGATTGGTTTTCCATGTTGTTTTAATTGTTGTTAGTTCTTTATTGTTGTTTTTTTGACTGCGAAAAGCAAAGGAACTATGTATCATATTGTTTATGTTGTTAATGATGGTGCTGTTAAAAACCGCGTCGTAAACTAAAGTTTTCGATTGGGCTTTATTCACTACATGTAACAATTAAGAAATATGTATTTAAAAAATTAAAATCGAGTAACGAGTCTGGTAAAAGGATATGAAAAGTTTTAACGGTGTGATCTTAAAATCGGCAAGCGAAGTACGATGATAGGATGTGCATTTTGGTAAGTTTAGTGCGTAGCCTTGTGACGGATACGAAAAACTTTTGAGCGCCAGGGGGCATCCGAGAACTGGAATATGGCTGCTTCTCGTATGCTGATTCAGTCAATTAGTAGTTTTTGAACAAAAAAGGTTTTTTCTGCTGTGGATTCCACATTTTGCTCACCCTGTCAGCGAACAGATGTCAAACTGTTGAACTCTCAGTACTTCCCGCTAATAATTATTGAAGTGCCCTAGTAATTTGGGATTTTATAAGCCTGTGCAAAAATTCTGTTTAGGCGATGATCTAGGACAACTGCTGCGTTCCAGCAAAAAACTGTTCGTTTATTGGTGAAAAAGAGACAAAATTATAGGTGTGAAGTTTCTCCCATTATTCAGCACTACAGTAAGGCTGCTTTGAAAACGTAAAGCCAAAGTAAAATGTTACTGAATAAAAAGATCAAAAGAATTTTCTGGTAAAGACAGCGGAAAGAACCAGATCCAGGAGAAGGATTACTGTACTGGTTAAATTTGGCTACCTACCGTAAGTTGAATTTATTCATCGAATATTTAGTGCTCGAAAAAAGGAAAAGAATAAGAGAGTAATATAAGAAAAAAGAGAAAAGCAAAATATATCCAAATAAATTTGTTACCTGGTAATTGAACATACAGTTTTGTAGGATAACTGTCTGAAAAAATTGGAAAAAAATTTTGATTTAAAAAATTCATTGAATTCATCTAAAATTTGATTTACCACTCCCGTGCATGTCTCTGTTATATAGCAACTGGGCGATGTTGCTGACGCCCGTTGTATAGCTAGTGCAACACTAGAGAATGTCAAAAAACGCACTAGAATCATTGAGTACTATGATATCTCTGCGTCTCTCTATACTTTGCATTGTTTCGTATGACAATTTGTCGTCAAAACCCGTTTAAAATTGCGCACATAAAAACGTTTGGTTGCTGGACGCAACCAGCATTAAACTTACCTGGCTGGGAGGCTTCTCGCGATCATGAAGGCGGGACCTCCATGGTGAGGCTTGGCCATTGCACTTTCGGCTAGGCTGACCTGTGTGGCATTCCCGAGTTGGGATTGGCCAACAGCATAATTTTTGCGTTTGGGGGAGCGTTCGCGCTTCCCTGCATTTCTGTGCAGTATGGTGGTTGAATCGGCCAGTTTGTTCATTAAGCTGAATTGGATTGGATAGCAGAGGCAGCAGCATCAAAAGCAAATAATGTCGCGGTTGTCGGTCTGTCGCTGTGACGTCATCAGAGTAGAAAACATTCGGTTTGCACTCAGCTCATATGGAATCGTTGCTGTCCCGAACCATTGTTTTTTATCGTTTTGATGACGGAATCGGAGAATAAGTAGAGCAGAAGAGGACATGCAGATGCCTTTTTTCTCCGCATCTGTTTTCTTCAGTGATCTTTGTCTGTCCGACCGTTGTTGTAATTTTTTAGTGCCGTCGTTCGCTGTGTTTTTTTTTGATTTTCAGATATACTGTTTCTATTTTTACTTTTTTTTTTTCTTTTTGCCTTAAAACTTTTCAGCTTATTTAAAGAGGCATCTGAAACTGCTGTTGTTGTTACTACTGCTATTGCTGCTGTTAATGATTTAAAATTTTGTTTTCAAAAGAATACTTGAATGATGGATTTATGTTTGGAAAACTGCTGTATAAAATTTAGGCAGTGAAGAAAAAACGCTAGTTTAAAAGTGTCTTTTCTGTTTTGTTTTATTGAACATTTTTATGTGCTTTCAGTCATAAGAGAACAAAAAAAAGAAAATTTTCTTTTTTGATGTTAAAGAATTTTATTGGTTTCTTATTTCCACTGATTGTTTTAATCATGTATGTTCTTTTTGCACAAACAAAAGGATTTGAAAATTAAAGAAAAAACTGAAAATCTGTTTTAGCAATTCCCCTCAAAACAAAGTTTGTTTAATGGATGAAACATTTTTGCTTTGATTGATTCGTCTTCAACCGGTATACGGTGCAACAAAATAACTATAAGAAAAAAGTTGATTTGGATGTAATTTGTTTAAAAAAAATTATAAAATGCAAAAAAAAAAAAAAAAAAAAAAAAAAAAAA